AACACAAGCTATTAAGAAATATGTTTGGGTAATCATAACTGAATGGCTGAAATACCATTGTGTAATCCCATTGTGCAAATTATGCCACATAATGCTGATCAACTGCAGCAATTTTTGGAAATAAAAATTTCCATTTACCACACAGAAGATCCTGAGGCTCCTATGGAGTCACTGTCTATCAGGAAGCTATAAATTATTTTTTAAATCATTAATGGCATTAACATTAATTACTTGGATGAGGAGGCAAAGGGAATGTTTATCAAACTTGCAGATTAATATCAAGAGAAAAAGACTGAGGGGGGAATATGATACCGTGTTTCCCCGAAAATACGACAGGGTCTTATATTAATTTTTGCTCCAAAAATGCATTAGGGCTTATTTTCAGGGGATGTTTTATTTTACAATGATATCTTCTTCTGGTTGCTGCACAATGCTGCACAATGGTGGAGGGCAGAGTTTCACTTAATGGGGACTTATTTGGGGGGTAGGGCTTATATTACAAGCATCCTGAAAAATCATCCTAGGGCTTATTTTCAGGTTAGGTCTTATTTTCAGGGAAACAGGGTAAAACTTGAAAGATTGCCATACAGACGAGGGGCAGGATCCGTTCACGATAAACCCAGAGTGGAGGACACCTAATAAGGGGCTAAGTTACAGGAAGCCAGATTTTGGTTGAATATGGTGGAAAACTCTCCAACTGTTAGAGCAGTTGTCCTACTTATAGCAACTGAAAGCTAGAATCCTCAATTGTCCACCATCAGCATTAAATAGGTATAAACACAGAGGGTGGTAGCTGCAGAGCTAACAGAAGAAGCTCAAATAAGAAATAACACTTGTGCATTATACATAGTTGACTTTAATTAATGTACTGAAATTTGTAATGGAAATGTAATTCTTTGTTTACAGAGTCTTACAGAGGAACATGGTCTTCAATCTGTGTTTGCTTTTTGCTGGGTTTGCCCTGTTTCTGCTCACTATAGGGATAACCATGACATGACCACTTTGCCGTTGAATGTCAGGACAATTTGATCTTTCTGAATATGGCCCAGGGATTATTGACTTTAATGTTACACTCAGGAGCTGGCAACAAGAGTTTTTCTTTTCTCTACAGCCTGGGACAAAGTCCTGTGATTGATGCATTTGTAAATACATTTTACCAAGCCCTGAAGATCCAGTCTTAGCCTATAACCACAACACCATGAGGGAGAAAATGAGGCTGAATCATAACCACCATCAGAATAATTATTAAGAATTAGGAGCCTGTATCTAATGGCCAGGTCTTTGCTGGTTAAAAAAATCAGGGCACTATTAAATTAAAACCAGCAAAAATCTCAACTGAAGATGAGAAATGGAAATTTTATTTAGTTTTGATTCTTAATAAGATTTTATGCATTTTCTTGAATAAATGGGATGGGGAAAATGAAACTAAGATAATTAATAACTGACATATTATCAATGCAAATATGTCTTATGAATGTTAGTTTTTAACATTTTTATCAAACTTAGAAAATTCTAACAAAACCAATTTAAACTATACAACTACAAAGACAATACACCTCTGGAGATAGGTTATGTCATTCACCATTTAGGAAGCCCCATTCCTTTTGCAAAACGTCACTGAATCTTACGAAATGGCAGAATCCTTCCTTTTTATTAATACATGCTCAATAAAAAGTCCCAAGATATCACTAAAATATCACTAAAATCAACCCTGAGTGCTCACTGGAAGGACAGATCCTGAAGCTGAGGCTCCAGTACTTTGGCCATCTGATGAGAAGAGAAGACTCCTTGGAAAAGACCTTGATGTTAGGAAAGTGTGAAGGCAAGAGGAGAAGGGGACGACTGAGGATGAGATGGCTGGACAGTGTCTGCGAAGCAACCAACATGAAATTGACAGACCTCCGGGAGGCGGTTGAAGATAGGAGGGCCTGGCGCGCTCTGGTCCATGGGGTCACGAGGAGTCGGACACAACTAAACAACTAAACAACTAAACAACAACAACAACACAACATCACTAAAATTATTTTTATTTATTTATCAAACTCCTTTTAACCTTAAGATCACACACTTATCATTAGTAGCTAAATTCCAAACTTTTTTATAGCAAGGCCACAGATTGAACTTCTGTCTGAGCTTACAGAAGTTAGACCTGGTTGCCTTTTTATCATGGCACCCAATAGCCTTTTCTATGCCACAGTGTCACCGAAGCTACCAACATGAATACCACAGTGTCCAACATGAATTTGACCCAACTCCAGGAGGCAGTGGAAGACAGGAGGGCCTGGCGTGCTCTGGTCCATGGGGTCACGAAGAGTCACGTAGCACCCCTTCATTCCACATCATAACCTTTTTATTTTTCTCATTGAAAGTCCCCTCATCAATCTAGAAATACCTGTACTCAAATACCTGCACAAGCATGAGGAGCAACAAGTTCAGACCACCTTCAAACTAGCTCTGGACTAATCAGTCTTGATCTGTACAGGAAGCACATGGATACCGATTGGATTGGATCAGACAGTATTTACATGTCTCTAGACAGAAACAACTTGATGGCATATAACTATCAGCAGCAAAGAGAGAAATAGATACTCTTTCCAATTCTAAACCACCCACCAATCAGACTTCTCTAACAGCATTTGTGCTAAACAGATAGTTAAAATGCAAGGAATAAGCAATATGTGACACAATTAACAGGTGTAGGTTTACAAAGAGGTTCAATTGCTCATTGGAGAGATGCTCTGTGTGTTTGGCTCAAAATGCTATGAAGGGTTCCCTTTCAGGATAACTTGTTTTGAGATTTGTTGTATTACTCTTGCTGGTTCCTTTGTTTGTTTGTTTGTTTTGATCATTGTTGTTGCCAATAATGTAGGCATGCTTCCAAAAGGCTCCAAAAGGATCAGGATCCTTCTCTAATGCAACTTTTTCTCAACAAGATGTAGAGGGAGACTGTTACACAGACAGCCCTTAACCTGTTTGAAGCAGTTATAAGGAAGTTTTTATATTCTTTTGGCATCTTTACTGAAGATTTGGAGATTTAGTTTCTCTGGATGAAAACTCTGTTAGGTTTTATTGCTTTGAGCATCCAGTAGATCAGAAGCTGAGATGTAAGGCATTTAAACACTGGCTCAAATCCTATTGTTAGTATAGCACAGCAAGTTATCTTAAACTGGGCCCACTGAATTACAAGTCCCATTGATTCAAATGGGCTTACTCTAATTATGATTTACTGAAATAAGTCACAACTAGAGTTAGCCCCTTTGAATCAGTGGAATTTATGAACTGATTCACCAAATCTCCATGGATTCAATAAACCTAATCTAGTGCAATTTACTATGCTAGGCAATAGGATTCCAGCCATTATGCTAAATCTCTACTGTGACAGAAATAGCTTCAGATGACATTCTTAAGGCTATGTCATCAGATAACATATGCATACACCCCGAAATCATTACACACAGGAGAAGTCCTGGATCACTCTTTTTAAACTTCCTTTTTTAATCTTGTTAATTATGCTAAATCTCTACTGGGACAGAAATAGCTTCAGATGACATCCTTAAGGCTATGTCATCAGATAACAACTTTTCTACATATGCATATATCCCGAAATCATTACACACAGGAGAAGTTCTGGATCATTTTTTTTAAACTTCCTTTTTTAATCTTGTTATTCAGCGTACAAATATCTTGTTATTCAACATCCAAATAGAGACCATTTAACAAATATACAATCAAGAGCATAGCTCTGTGAAACAACTTTTTAAAAGGAAACAACATCCCACTATTGGAAAGGTAAATAGGAGTTAGGCGAGTGGAGCATCCTGAAATTGAACTTGTTGGGGAAAATAGTAGTATGGGGGCTGTCATCTTGCCCTAGATCAATTTTGGGGCCAGAGATTAGAACATGTGTCTGCTGAACCTTCCAGCTTCCCATTGATTGACATTGCATTGAATTTTTATTCTAGGTCAGATTAGGTAAGAGATGTGGGACCTCTGGTGTGTACAAATAATTTTTGTTCAACATTTGTGCTTTCTGGATGATTGCCGCTGTTTAATGTTTAATGGAAAACATCTGTTTCTCAATGATGTTCTGCCATATAAAGGAAAGGCCAATGTCAGGACTTTTCAATGCTTCTTCAGAAAGACATCCCCAACTGTAATGTAAGTATCGTGCCTTTTTGAATGACATACATATGAAAGACATTTCTCTGTAAAAATGGTTTGCATTTGTTGAATAAACTTACCAATACTCTTGATTTTTCCAGAGTTATCTTGCATTTTACTGTGTTTTACCAAGTATTTGAGAACTGGTAGAACATATAGAAAGGTAATAAAGTATGCACAAGATGTTGGAAAGATGCTGGGTGTAGCTAGTCCTGTGGAGCCAAACCTGTTTTAAAGTTTAAAAAAAGTTTCCGTTGGCAAGCAGCAACTTGTAGTCATGTCATGGGAGTGGGCAACTGGGGCTATTCACAGCAAGGGAATCGGTGTCTTTCAAGTTGCCCACCCCACCATAGGAATGCGGACAGCAGGCTCATGAGACTACCTGGTCTCATTGATCCCCAGTCAGGCAAAGGAGAACTATGTAGTTCTGGTTTGATTGCAACAATTGTTTCTATTTATTATTTCTTTATTTTGGGTACTTATATACTGCCCCATTAATGCACAGCACTATTCTGAGCATTTTGTATAAAAACAAGCAGTCACTATAATGTCCAGTTACATGTGTTTCTACACCTAAATTAACACAAAAAAACTTTATTCAAATCAGTGTCCTTTTGGAAGATGTGTATGTGTCCAGTCTAGCTCGCCAGTGGGTTACCTTGAATCAAGGGAGATTTGAACCCAAATCTCCTCATGCTGTGTCTGTCCCAGTGGCTATCAGGTTGTACCTTTAGTAGACCAGTAATTTTTTTAAAAAAAAAATAGGCTAATTTCTGGGTCCCAAGTGATTTGGACTAATCTGGAACCAACTTGCTTTTGGTTGTTGTGGGTTTTTCGGGCTCTTTGGCTGTGTTCTGAAGGTTGTTCTTCCTAATGTTTTGACAGTCTCTGTGGCTGGCATCTTCCGAGGATCAGAGGACAGCACTCTGTGCTCATGAACACGTTAGGAAGAACAACCTTCAGAACACAGCCAAAGAGCCCGAAAAAACCCACAACAACCATTAGATCCCCGCCATGAAAGCCTTCGCGAATACAACTTGCTTTTGATTCAGACCAATCCAATTTGCTTTACATCTGATCTGAAAACGCCCAATTCAGAGCCGGATTCGGTCTGAGAATCAATCAGTTGAACCAACTGCACAACCCTGGATATTATGAAGAGCAGAAAATATCAGAGAAGGATGCTATCAATGCCTATAAGTGGTGGCTATGTAGTAGAGGTGTGCAGACTCGGGTTTTTGGACAACATCTCCCAGAATTCACCAGGAAGCTATCTCTACACCTCTCCTGTGCCGTATGTATCTCAGTGCCAGTTGCTGGAGAACATCAGTAGGGGAGTAGTACTGTGCTCATATCCTGACCGTGAGCTTCTCCTTCATATCTGGCTGGGCATTTTGGCAAGAGAATGCTAAATTAAACAGGTCAAGCTGTGCAATTCCTTCATACAAATGTCTTTCACTATTCCAGTATAAGCAGTGACATTGAAAATGTGATTCTTTCTTTACAGAGTATATCCTGAAGAACATAATGGCTAACCTCTATGTAGCTTTACTTCTTGCTGGGCTTCACACTTTTGCTTATTGCCACCGTGTCCCTGCCCATCATGAAAGGGAAAATGAGCACCATATTTCTGCTAAACATGACCATAATGCACCTTATCTGAAGTTAGTCCCAGGTAATGTCGACTTTGCTTTCAAATTCTACAGAGCAGCTGCTGAAGGGGCTGGCCGGAATAATATTTTTTTTTCTCCCCTGAGCATTTCCACTGCTTTTTCCATGCTGTCCCTGGGAGCAAAGTCCGACACACTGAGACAGCTTTTATCAGGACTTGGTTTTAACCAGACAGACATCACTGAGCATGAAATACATGAAGGCTTCCACCATCTTCTCCGCAAATTAAACAGTCCTGATGCTGAACATGAGCTGAACATTGGGAATGCCCTTTTCATTGATGAGAAGCTGAAACCCCTCAAGAAGTTCTTGGATGAAACCAAACATTTCTATATGTCTGATGTTTCTCATGTTAACTTGGAAGTTGACAGACTTGGTTTTCTTAATATAGTATTCTGCTTTCCTATATATTGCCTGAAATCTAGGAACATTAAGTTATACTGTATAGGCTGATGATGTCATAAACCAGAACTGTTTTTTGGGAATTGAACGTTCCCGGAGAATGTTGGAGCTCGAGTCTCCAGCAGTGATTTTCAGAGATTGCCAACACACACACTGAGTTGTTTGCTCCCCAAAAACTTCCTTGGAACTAGAAAGTTGCAAAGTAAGCCTCAGAACCTTAGGTGAGGAAGGGATAAGAAATTCCCCCAAAACAGCTGTGGCTGATGAGAACATCTGTTTTATTGTGATGCATCTTTATGCTATCTGATTTCAGCCATTGTTTTTAGATGCACTGTTGTAAACATTCTTGGTGTGAGATTAAGTCCAGTCCATAGAGTACGTCACAGTTCTGGACACTCTCCTAATATATTTGGTTTAGTTTGGTAGAATTTTCTGGTTCTTACCATTTCAGCAATCGGACTACAACTACCAAATCTCTTAAGCCAGCATTAACAGTTAAGATAGCCAACTATGCAAGCCAGGACATCAGCAAGAATGATGTAAAATTTTGCTCTTTGGTAAAAGGACTAGAATTCTTTGGTTCCTGCAGATAATTTCTTTGAAAACAACTCCCAGAATTGCCAGGGCATCTTGGCCAATCAAGATCTAACCCTGCCATCCCTTTAAACAAGGGACTAAGTATGCATGAAGCACACTGACATACCACTAGTTACATACTTTGCAGGAGGCAATGCTTTCTCCTAGCTAAAATCAGTTTGTTGTTGTTGTTTAGATGTTTAGTCATGTCCGACTCTTCGTCGGACACGACTAAACGTGTGGAGTACCAGGAAGCCTTGAGTGGTACTTCCAGTTCACATAGGACAAAATTCAGCTATTCAGCAGTAATTTTTTGTACTATTAATGATCCTGCCTCCCCTGCAATCTTAAGGCTCTCAAAGGCTTTCCCAGGACAAAAGGGAGCCCTAATGAGTCTCAGAACCTAAAAGGATGAAGGGCAGGAAGCTTTAATTATTTTAAATCAAATGCTTCTGGTGCCTAATCTGGGTTATCAAAACATGGAATCATAGAATAATTGAATTGGAAGGGGCCTATAAGACCACAGAGTCCAACCCCCTGTTGAATACAGGAATCCAGATCAAAGTATATTTGATAGTTGGTTGTCCATTTTTCTCTTGAATGCCTCCAGAATCACTCACCACCTCCCAAGGTAATCGCTTCCACTGTCTACTGCTTTAACAGTTAATATGTTTTTCCTGATATTCAGCCTAAATCTGGCTTTCTGGAACTTGAATCCATTACTTTGTGTCCTGCACTCTGGGAGGATTGAGAACTGATACTGCCCCTCCTCTGTGTGGCAATCTTTCAAGTATTTGAAAAGTGCTATCATATCTCCCCTCAGTCTTCTTTCCTCAAGGCTACACATGTCCAGATGTTGGGCATGATCCTGTTGTATGATTTTGCTTATTGCATGATGTGTATTTTCAGCAATCCCAGTTTTTAGCAACAAAAAGGTACAAAAGGATTGAACATAGAGAAGTGATAATTAGCTCTCTTGCACTGAAATCCTTCAAGTAGATATAAGATTTAAGTGTGTGTTTGTTACTCAGAATGGAATTTCAAAGGTCGCATCCAGAAATCTTAATCATATCATGATTGTGTTCCACAATTTTAAAATACATGAAATGCTTTTTTCCCTCCAAGCAGGAGCAAAATCTTGGGTTTGCTACAGTAAACTGCATGCTTTTCTTATTCCCCCTTTCCAAAAGCTTACTGGAGGAACCCTTTCAATTATGAAGCTACTCGAGAAGGGGATTTCTTTGTGGATAAACACACTGCAGTGAGAGTTCCTATGATGAACAGAGATGGCTTCTTCAGCAGCTACCGTGACACAGATCTGTCCTGCCAGGTGGTGCAGCTCCCTTACAAGGGCAGTGCTTCCGCATTGTTCATTCTGCCCGACCCAGGGAAAATGAAACAGGTGGAAGATGCTCTGAACAAAGATGTCTTGTTTAAATGGCTGCATTCACTGAGACGTCGGTAAGTCAGTGTGTGGCGGTGGAGAGAATTTTAGATGAAGACTGAAAAGTTTTCCATTTGAAGGACAACCTAAGATTTGTTCAATTTGTTATCATCATACATGGTTAAGTGACAGGGAATGTAGCCGAGACCTGCATGGAAAGAAGATCAGAGGCATCCGGAATAGTAACAAAATGGTAGTCCTGTCTCCCTACAGAAGGTCCTGTGGCAAGGCTTAGGCTGGAATGGAACAACCCCACTATGAAAGGAGAAGAGCTTAAGCCACAGGGCAACCTATCTTCCCTAGAAGCCTTAGGTATACCCATGGAAAGCCCTTGATAGATGAGATCAGATCAGATCAGATCAAAGGGTAAAGCTGTGTGCTGTGTTCAATGGAGCATTAGGCTTGGACAGGAGAGCATTTGAGTTTGATTCCTATTCAAAGCACTGATCAACTCTCACCCTAACATGTATTGGGTCTGCTGTTCACATCTTGCATAGCTAAGTAATGGGAAGGGATCTCTCTGGACAAAAGTCCTGATCTCTCTGGACAAAAGAGGGAAATTTCAGCAATAAAAAATAGGTATGTACACTGTCTTTGGACATATGTGCAAGAGGTGACTGAATCAGGGTATACGTGCCGTTCTGTAGTGAGCAAGGAGCCACACAACACAATGGGTCCTTCATATACAATTCTGGATTTATAGGGTTAAAATATCACCGGTGAGTTAAATTGACCAAAGGGGGAATAGAAAGTAATATGGTAGATAGTTTGAGCTACAGGTACCAAAGAGGAAGACAAATGATAGCTGAACCCT